TCTCACTCTCAGTCTCAGTCTCACTCTCACTCTCACTCTCACTCTCACTCTCACTCTCACTCTCACTCTCACTCTCACTCTCACTCTCACTCTCACTCTCACTCTCACTCTCACTCTCACTCTCACTCACACCCACACTCACACTCTCACTCTCGCTCTCCCTCTCACTCTCACTCTCATTCTCACTCTGACACTCTAACACGCTCTGACACACACACACACACACACTGTTACACACTGACACACACTGACACACTCTGACACAGGCACACACTCACACACTCACACGCAGTCATTACCTGCTGAGTTTTTATTGCCCCCATAGCGTTGTTCGAAACGTCCCCAACTAGTCATAGGCCGCTACTGGTATCTTTTTCAGGCTCTGCTTTTAACGAGCATGGACGAGATGTACGAGCTGGACGTCCCATCAGGCAGCGTGATAGTGTCGTTCGCAGCAGAGCCTTCGAGACCTTCCTCGCCGCAGGAATTTGGGCTGGACCGATGTTGCTGCCCAACAAAAACAACGCCGACTCTTACGATCCTCACCTGGATGAGAGTTAAAGCAAAAGGCTGGTTAGATGTTGCGATGTGATGGTCTGCATGCTCTGCCCAAGGACTGGGTCTCCATGTGCAGATTGACGCACGGCAGGCCCCCCTCCCGGCCCGCATTGCCCCGCCTTTTTGTCTCAAGCTTCGAAGCTTCTTCGTTCAGGTGGCGCTTCTTGGGCCATCCCAGCGGTCAACCCATGCAGATGTGGAGCTTTTCACGGCCACCCGTGAACGAATTGCCTCCACGGCATGACGACGTTTAAGTCTAGTGCGAGAGGCCAAGAGCATCCAAGAGCCGTGCTCGCAGCAGAAATTGCAACTTGATAAGACTCTGATAAGAGGCTGTTGGATCCCTGGTCGGCTCACGGTAGACCACAGAGGGATGGCTGCTAGCCGTCTAAGGCCAGCGCCAGCTTTTCCTTCGTTTTTCATAACGACGCGCCCATCTTGCAGCACGACGGCCTTCAGCCGCGGAGAGGGTGACAGAGACTTTTCATACGTTGCAGCTGCTGCTTCCGGATTCGCAATATTCACAGAGGTGAGGGTGGCCCATTTCTACTGATGAAACCCGGTGTGTCAGCAACTCGATCCCCTGCCCAAGCGAGACACATCCAGACAGTTCGGAAAGCGGTTGCGAACCTGGGATGTGTCAGATGATCTCAGATGTCTCACGTGCTATAGCCAGCTAATCAGCTAATATTTTGAAGTGATCCCATAGGCAGTCCCACCTGGTGGATACCAAAACGGAATCCGCTTTCGGGTGCCGCAGGCCACTCCAACACGAAGTTTTATAGATTTGGTCATGGCCGGTGCCTTGTGCCGTCGAAGAAGATCGTTGGCGGTGTGCAGCCGCGCATGGCTGAGTGCTAGAGTCAACAGCTCTCTCCAGGTCGTACGACCAAATCAAAGTGCTCAAAAAAGTCTATATCATGGCCAGAACTCAAGATGCAGTGAAGATTAGTGTGGGCTGCTCTCGAAGTAGAGCAGCTGCTACAGTCTTTGTGCTGGCGATTGGTGCTTATGACTGCTTGCTGTTGGCTGGGGCTAAGTGCACGGAGAGTTGGCAGGTCAGAGATGTCCTTTCGGTTTCTTCTCCTTCACCTCCAACATCGACAGTCACTGGACCGGCTGCCCCCAAGCCGCTTCCGCTTGCGACGCTGAAAGCGGTCTGCCCTGCATCCCTCCTTTGGGAGGATTTCTTCTGGGACCTCGGCGGACCGCGTCCTCGAGGTTGGGCATTTTGAGGAGCCAACCAGAGCGGGCTTCGTCGGTGTGCTCCGAGGTCCACGGTGCCGTGAAATGGCTCCAGTGCTCCAAGCCTTGCTGCCCGGACGTGTGGAAGGCACTCGGAGCGAATGCGATGCGAACTGCGAACATCTGCGAACGCATGCGACGCGAACTGCGGAGGGATCTTGGCTTTGCACAGGCGCCGGCTGACCTCTGCCTGGCAGAGGATCCCCATTCCCATCGAGTGCAGGGAGTGCTGGCCTTTGAAATCCAGTCCAAGCTACGGAAGATTACGGACTTCGCCATCTGCATTGCGATTTCAAAAAAAAAAAACTGTTCGAGATGCAAAGAGAGCAGCCCTTTCCGAAATTTTCAGACAGATGATCAGCATCTGCTTATTTCCGTCTCTTGACGGAAGTCTATAATGTATAGGTAGACACAAAAGTCTTTATTCGATCCGGAAATCTCTCCGGGAATGTGTGTGTGTGCGTGGAACCACTCGGAAGGGCTGCGGAAGGCAGTTGCTCCATGGGCACAGAAGCAACGGATACGTAAGCCGTCGCATAATGCGGAAGAGGTGTTTTTGCTCTTGCGGAAGGGGTCGCTTGCAAAACCGTCCGCAGAAGGGTGCTTGGAAGGGACAACATGCATTGCCTCGGAAGCATTGGCGGAAGGGGGTTTTGAATCCCAGTGATTGCACCCGAAAGAAAAACATAAGATGCTGCTTGCGAGCATGGTCAATGGTTGTAATTTTTCACCCATGATGGAACTGTGAACGGCGACTTGACAGCGGAGCAGGAAACCTTTCACCCAGCAGTTTAGCAAGAATGCTTCACGTGATTCTTTTTGTAATCGTGCATTCTCGAGGCTTTTGACGTCAGGTCTTGCCCGTCCTTCTTCAGAAGTCTCGTTTCGAAAAGCAGCGTCCTTTTCGGTTATTCACCATACCTGCCAGCTGTGGTTAGGTCGTTGTTGTTTTGTGACGCATTTATGCATCCGCGATGGACCCGGCAGCGTCTCGGCTCGATTGCCTTTTCGATTTTTTCCTTCTCATGCCATTTTATATACCGGCCACGCCCCCCCAGGGCGGTGCTCTGGGGCGGGCGCAAAAGTGCGCACCCTGCCACTGGCACCGTGTTTAGGGGCCGTGTGCCCGGCCGGACGCAGTTCGCCCTTCGACCAAGAAGGGGCACTGCACCTTTAGTAGGTTCTGGCTAACTCGTCGTTAGCTAACCGTTAGCTAGGAGCTTGTTTTCGTCCGCACGGGCTCATGGTGAGTCTTGCCCACAATGCTTCAGCGATGGGTTTGAGGGTCAGTTGATGTCAATTGTGAAGCAATTTCGAAAAGTGGACCACACGAAAAGCTCGTCACGAGCTAGCAACTAGCTCGTCGTGAGCTTGTGGGAATTGCGGTCTTACGTATTTGCCAATGGATCGGCAACTTCGGCCTTGTAATTTTTCTGGCAGCCTAACTCCCCCAGAGTATGTTCAGCTTGACAGCATTCCTCATGCAAAATGAGAGAGGCAAGATTCAGCAATCGTTTGACCTGCCTCCTCATTCCCCTCAGCTTTCCTCGCCGATTGGCCCAGGTGTTGCCAAGCTGCCCGAAGTGCAAGGCCGGAAAATGGCTTGGAAAGCAGAGATGGAGAGTTTGAGCGGTACGGCACGGTGCAGGGCGCAGGGTGTTTGGCTTCCGCCCAGGCAGTCGCCAGACCCAACGTGCAGATGTTTGGTGGGGATTCTGCAGGTTGTGGCACGCTTGCACTCGGTGGAGAGCCCGAGGGTTGGGACTGATGTCCTGAATGCTTCGCAATCAAACGGATTCACGTGAAGTTGACAGTGTTTCTTGATTTTGTTGGAGTCAGTGAAGTCAGAAGCTTTGACATGTCAGATTCGCCAGGGATTCTCAAGGGCACGACGAGGGGCGCAGAACACCAGGCGAGGGATGAAACCTCCCACCGTCAGTTTTCCTCTGTCGGGGGCTCATGCTTCGGACAGGTACGATGCGTGGGTCAACAGCTTGGCATCGCGGCCGGATGTTAGTAGCAACTTGGCACAACAGCCTTCTGCTGCGAGTGAATCGCGGAAGCGCTCACTTGCCTTGTGGAGGCCTGAGCGTTGTTTGCCTGGAAGCCCGATGCCAAGCTGAAGTCGGCAATGCATGCGCAATGAAGGCAGCAAAGGCGGTATACAGTCAGCAGTTCTAACAGTGCTGCGAATTTGGCCAAAGTCACAAGCAGCGCACATGCCCAGGTTGGCTGTGGACTCACAGTTCCAACCGTGAGACGAGAGCTTGAGAAGGTCGTGCAGAGGCATCGGAGAATCATAAAATCACGAAGCGTCTCGGTCTTAGCGATTTGCAATTCCAATCAATTCAAGCCAAGCCGCCAGATTCCCCGGCGGTCGCCTCATTCGAGTCGTGCACCCAGAAGTTGTTAGAGAAGCAGCGAAGGAGGGAAGGCCTCGGCCCGTGAGGTGAATCCCGAGAACCCTGGACTTGCCAAAGAGCTGGTCGAGAAAGGAGCCGAGCACCTAGGACCTAGAGGGCCTATGGGACCGGGTTGCTCTGCTGTCGAGCCAGAACTGCCAAGGTAAGCCTGCCGCTGCCGGCAGGTGCTGCCATCGAAAAACTGAGTCAGCAGGCGAAGTGCAGGTGTCTTGCATCTCTTTTGATTTCTTTGTTCCGGTCAGAGGTGGCGCAAACCGAGGAGATCATGCAGGCCGGCCCGACAAAAGAGGTCACCCTGAGCAGTGTTCTCGGTTTTCGCTCCACAGGCGACCTACGTCCTCTGGGGCCACGAGGGCGGCTGCGAGATCCGTGCGCCTTTCGGGACACCTCGAAGCTCAGATGGTGGCGTTGCTATAGTCTGTTCGTTGCTTGGGGTATTTTGGGAGGACCTGCCTCGGACGGCTTCTGCGATTGGTTGAAACGCAGGGTCGGATGACAGTGGAGTTCAAGCCGGACCGAGAAGCCGTGACTTCTGAGCTTTCCTTTGCGTAGCTCTTGGCTTCGAGGACGTTGTCGGAATCGTGAAGCAAGCGATGGGCCCCAGGAGCATGCGCTGATCTGCGCCAAAGTTTTGAAGAAGCTCGCCGAAGCGCGATCGATTTCTCATGATCCTTCTGCAGGACGGAGCCTCTTACCTTGGAGAGGCAGGGAGCTTATGCTGAAGACAAAGACTCCCAATAGAGAGAGAGAGAGAGAGAGAGATGCGGTGTTTGTCGGTGAGGTCTGTGCCGATGGACATGTACCAGGAGTTCCGAGAGCCTTTGTCTCAGTGCCACAAGTCTTCTTTGGGCTGCAGGAAGTCAAAGTTGGAGATGGCGCGAAGTTGGAGGCACTGGGTACTCAAACGGTGAGGCTGTAAGTTGCTCTTTTCTCTCCTAATTTCTTTGAGGTGACGGCCATCATACGGGTCATGGCCAAATTCTCGAGCGGGCCTTACTGTGACGTCACGCAACCTGGCGTAGCGAGGCTTTCGTTTCTATCTGCATTGGTAGTGGGGCGTTGGATGCCGGCCAAACCAGATATATCGAGCACCCCCGCCCCTTCCACGCCGCCACCCCTTCCCCCTCCGACCCCCTCCGCCTCTACTTTGTTGTTGCAGAGGTGTTGATGTGGTTGGATGTGCTAGAGCCATCCCTGTTTCCCCTACGTTGGTGATGCGGTTCCTGGTTGCATGCGAGGATGCCTGGAGCCCGCCTCCCCAGCTCTGTTTCCCCGCTGACGGATGCGTTTGGATATCATGATGCTTGGAGCCTGGCTCACCAGCTCTGTTTCGCTTTCCATCCCTCTAGCCTCCTGCCCCCGCCGCTCAAGTCGTTGCAACCTCGTACCTCGTAGGATGACTAAGCCGCATCGGAAACGCCAGGGGTGGCAGCTCCAGTGTGGGCGGTTTCAGCCTGAACGCCCCTTTGGCCATGCGCGTGGACCAGGCAGGGAATAGCTGCCGGTAGTCCAACAACAGCTCTTCAACAACTGCCATCGCTTGGATCCCTTGTCCATGGACGGCTGCTGCTTAAGCTCACAGCGATTACACAAGGCACGTGAAGAGCGATGGAAGTTGCTACAGCTCCCCAGAACAAGAGCTTCAGAAAGTATGCACGATACGGTGGTACTATGGTAACATACATGAAAGAAAGCAAGAACACTACGTCCATCTCCTCGGTCTGGCTCGATGGTTGCAGAGAAACATCGATGACAGCATCGTGTGATGTTATTGTGATCGGCGGCGGCAGTGGCGGAAGCGCCTTCTCCAAGCGTGCTGCAGGCAGCCTCTGACTCTGTGAAGTTGTTAAATCGCTGTACACTGCAGAGCACGATCATGTTGCAGTTTTGTAGTTTTCTTCTCCTCTTCACTTATCCGTCTGGCCGTGAACTTCGCTCGAGTCCGAGGCTACGGTGCCAAGGTCGTTCTTGTCGAGCGCGGGCCCTCCTGGAACGAGCAAGGCTGAGCTCACATCCGCGAGGGAAACGGGGGCACTCACGATACAGAACGAACAGATCGAATCTCCTGCCGGCCCATGGCTTGTTGAGGCCAGCGAACGGGTGCTGGCCCGGGAGGGACCTGCGTGAATGTGGGATGTGTGCCGCGACCTGTCTCATTTTAGAATCTATCTGACAGTGTCTGTTGAGTGGTGATGAGACGAGGAAGAAGCTCATGTTCATGGCGGCTGCTCACCGTGAGATGATGGTGGGGGAGCTTGCCACTGCCAAGGCAGGAGCGACGCAGCGCTGCAGCGGTGCCCGAGCCTGCTGCGGACAGGGCTACGGCTTCACGGTGCCGGAGGGCGCCGGGAAGGTTCAGTGGGAGGCGCTTCAGCAGCGTCGTGACGAATATGTGAAGAAGCTGAACAAGAACTACACGGCAGGCTGGCAGAAGGAAGGCCGGGGAGTGACAGTTTAGCAATGCCACACCTGGAATGCATCTCACGACAGGTGTCGAGATTGTCGAAGGCCAAGCCCTCAGATGTGCAGCATCGCCATTAGCTGCCGCCACTACCACCGACCCAGGAAAAGCCACTACACCCTCGAATCTCAAGCTCGAAACAGGAAACAGGGATGGGAGGAACGTTGGGAGCCCAGGGTGGTAAGGACACCCAGGGTGGCAAGGCGCAGGAGGCAGGTGTAGCAGGGATAGGGCAAAGCGGACAGTGTGGGACATAGAAGAAAAGGGTGTGGGGAGGAGGGCGGGGTGGCGTGGAGCGCAAACATCATGCGCTCTAAATGACATGGAACGGGCAAGAATAAACAACTTTGTTCATTTGAGGGCAAGAGATAGGGTGCACCAAAATGACGGGGTCGGAGGGGAAGTGTAGGAAAGCCCTTCACTGGCGCCGGGGTCTGCGAAGCTCGGGGTGATAGATGAAGAGCATCGCAAGGGCATCTTTTCTGCAGGTACAGCTCAGTTCGTCGATTCGAGCACCGTGGAGGTGCAACTCGGCTGTAACTCTGGCGCCTGCGAACATAATCTATCGCTCCGAATTCGCCGGATGCAGCCTGAGATTCAAGCGTGCTCCACCAATGCAGTCTGGCCAAGTGTCTTTGTGTCAGGATCTCCTTGGTAAGACGGCTACGCTCATGTGCTACGGACTGCCGGCGTTGTTTACACAGTTCTTTAACATGGGGCGGATCAACATACTTACAACTTCGTCTTCGAATAGAAACTTTCTTGACATGGTACACAGTGCGTGCCATTGTTGTGACAGGGTGTAGTCCTGGATAAAGGCATCGTGTGTGTCAGTGACTAGCTGTTGTAGTTTCGTGGAGTCAACCACCCACTTCAGTTCTCAAGCAGTCCGGAGCTTTTGCAGCAAACGAAGGCAGCGGAAAGACGGCAGCAAGACCACGCTTTGCGGAAAGAAAATCCTCATAGCGTGCGGCGGTATCCCAGATGCTCCGGCTATTCCAGGCATCGAGCATGCGAGTCTTGGCTGCAAGCTTGTGCATCCAGCATGACAGTTTTACACTCTTGCATACACGAGAGAGGATTAACAGTGACGGCTTCTTCGAGCTCAAGAAGCAGCCCAAGAAGGCACGAGTCCACCAAAAGGAAAACATCATGTGCGGATGTTCTGGGATATCGCTTACGAGCTGGTTTACAGATTGAGCAGCTGGTCCTGTTCTCCACGCCGTGAGAGCTATCGCGAAAGCCAGCTCTGTGGAGCTTGCGGCAGTTGTCGTTTACCAGAGATCTATGTCAAAACTGCGTGCAGGACCTTTTCTGGCCCCTTCACAATTCACAATACTTCAAGCGGGGGGGAGGGGCCCTCTCCGCGTCACCACCCAAATGATTGATTTAGAGAATTTGGAGCCAAGAAGGAGGGGACCCCCCCGGTACGCAACTTAAACCGGGTGAATTTGGGAGGTTGCCCAAAAGCGCGGTTGTACGGTGGAAAGTAGGGTGGCCATAACGATTTCTGGAACATGTGTTTTTCTCTTCGGAATGAGGCAGGGCCGGAGGTTGGGCAAGTTAATCACCATGTTGTCGTTAGATTAGCGATTGTCTGGCGCTTGAGCAACAAGACACATCCTCATATAGTATGCGGGTCTGTATAACATGTTGGAAGGCTTCGTAGGGTAGTTCAGAAGCAGATCTGGACGTGTTGCAGCATGCACTACAGAGTGCGGGCTGAAGTTGGCAGACCGAGATGGAAGTGCCGACATTGACATGCTGTCGTGTCCGCAATTGCGGAGCTGCCAGGGCAGCAACGTGGCATCCGCGGCATGGAGTTCGTGTCATTCTTCCCCCGGAACCCCTTGGAAACCAACACCCAGTCTACTTGGCAGCCGGAACTGTGGGTTTTGATATTTGCATGACTTAAACTAAGATAGTCAAACGATCTAATTCCCGAACTCAATTAAGTAATTTCAATAATTTAAATACCGTAAATGGTTTAAATTGTTAAGAGTATTTCAATTTTCAATTTTTCTTCCCGGAACGTCTTGGAAACCAAAACCCGGGAAAGAACAAATTTAACAAGGTTTGTTGTAAGCCCGTGTCCTCTTTCAGCAACAAAACTGTAAGGTTTTTTGTTGTAAACCCTTGCCATCCTTTAATTCTAACGCTACGCAGCCCGCCTCGGCTCGACGGTGGCGAGGGAAGCGGAGGAATGAATGGATGAAGATGGGAAGGAACGGGCCAGCCGGGGTGGGGGGTCGAAACTGTGGCCAGACAGCGCATGTTACCAAACTTTTGGGCTGCAGGGAGGAGGATTAGGTAGAAGGGCGGGGGGCCTGTGAGGCGAGTGCAAGCTTGTGAGTTCCGCAACAGAACAAGCCAAACGGAGAGGGTTAGGGAAGAGAGGAAAAAATACGGAAGAGGCAGGGGAGCCTAGGTGCCAGGAAGGGAATGGATGAAGATTGGAAGGAACGAGTGCCACTGCACTGCGTGCTTGTGTGTGTTTCTAGTTGTTTGGGGTACTAAACCTAAACAAAGATTGGGGGGGGGCGGGGGGGCGCCAAACTTTTGAGCTGCAGGATTTCTAAGGTTTTTGGTACAAGTTCCCCAATGGAGAAGGACGTAAAACCAAGAACCTTAGGAACCAGGGCTTGCGATTTGTCCCTTTGGAGAACTTGGTCTACAAATCTGCAAGACCAGAGCTTGCGAAGTGTCTTTTTGAAGAACCAAGGCAAAGAGGAGGGCGGGGAGGACACGCATTGCGACTGAAGCTTTTCCAGAACATCATCATGACGTTCTTTTTTGCTCCAGTTCCTCGACTACACTGCCTGTATTTTTGTTTCTCGTTTAGATTCTTGATTGTGCCGTTCCTGAGTAACACGTTTCTTTCTCCATTTTCTCACTAGACTCTGTTGCGCTTGTCTTTCGAATCAACCTTGCATCGTCGATCATCTGCAGCCGTCTCGAAACAAAACAATTTCTTTTCCAAGCAACCCTCGAATCTGTCTCGGCTTCGATTCCTTCTTCGTCAAGCCCCTTGCATCTCTTTCCCTCCGACTTCCGAGGTCATGGCTGCCGGATGAGCCTCTTTGCCTGGCCACGCTCCCGAAGCCGGTGTGTGTGTGTGTGTCTCTTTTTTCTAATGTGCGTGTGCCTCGCCATAGCGCTTTCGGCAGCGCACATTTGCTTGCACTACCCAGGTTTCCCGACGGGTGGGACTGTGGGACTACAAGGACTCCGTGCGAGTGCGCCAATGGCCCGACCTTCGGAAGACGAAGAACCCATGTGGACAACATCGTGTGAGGCGTACTATCCGATCGCAACCGGTAGATGTAAGCGATCGCTCGAGGCCGTGGGGTGGCCCAGGACGTCCACGGACCCGTTCCTTTTGCTCCTGGAGTACCGCATCCGGCGGGGGTTAAGGTATTCTAGACATCATCGCAGGCAGCTCGAGTGGCGGGCCATGGTTTTGGGACGCAAAAGACCGGATCTCCATTGCGCGCAAGCGTCGGTAGCAGCAGCACGGCGAGGTGCGACTTTCGCCCGGGCGATTGCGATTTCACGGTCGGGTCTTAGTGACTCGTCCGGTGCTTCAGCCGGGCGGGTGTGCACTTGGTGATGCTAGCATTTTTGCGCCCGACAAGCGGTCGTCGATGGGCGTTGGCAAGGCCGAACCTCAGTATGGGCAGCTTGTTTTCAGCGGATGCTAAGATGTGCAAGCTCAGAGGCCCGAGACCGCGACCGCGACCGTGCTGTGTGTGCCTCAGGTTTCGTTTGTCTCGGATTTCACCCATCTTCATCACTAACATCGTCGCATCATCATGTTATCATCGCGAACGCCGCATTCGATCATCGTCACTACGATTAGTCTTCCACCTGGCAGGAGCAAGCCCGGCATGCTGTGGACGGAGTTTCACATTGCGGACGAAGGCTCGGGCATAAGAAGGACCTACATTTCGCCCAATCGCTGTGTTAACCGACGCCTATCATGAGGACGACGGTGATGACGGCGAGGACGATGGATCCCTCGCACCT